GTCAGTGGCAGGGGGCTTCTTCCTGCTTTCCCTTTCGCCTCCCTGCATTGTGCCTACATATGCAAATTAACCACCATTTTTGTTGTCAGTTAACTGCCATCTGAGTTGGCAGTTAATTTGCATATAGCCTGATTAGCCAATGAAAAGGGTAGCATCGTACGCCAATTACCATTTTTCTCTTTTATTAGTGTAGATGCCACCCATCTCACCCTTTCTTTTGAAAATAGTTAATTTTCAAAAAATGTTATTCAGCCCTGGCCAAGGGGCTCAGCTGATTGAAGCATCGATCTATACACCAAAGGGTATAACAGGTTCAATTCCCAGTCAGGGCACACACCCAGGTTGTAGGTTTGATCCCAACAAATCAAGGAGCATATGGGAGGCAACCAATAGATGTTTCTCTCTCCCCCATCCCTTCCTCTCCGTCTAAAATCAATAAATACATCCTCGGGTGAGGATAAAAAGAAAAAAAGATGTTATTTATGTTAACACATAATGAAATTATTTTTAAAAGAACCAATAATTTAAAATTTTTCCATTTCAATTTCTAATACTGTAATATTGACAGATACAATCTACATAAACAAAAGATTATGGGCACCTTAATTTTTAAGAATGCAAACAGGTCCTAAGACCAAAAAGTTGAGAACTGCTCTAGGTCATGTTCAGAGTTAACTTTATAAAAAATATATATTTTTATTGATTTCAGAGAGGAAGAAAGAGATAGAAAATGGTAAGAGAGAATCATTGATCAGCTGCCTCCCACACCCCCCAAACTGGGGATCAAGCCTGCAATCCAGGCATATTCCCTGACTGAGAATCAAACCATGACCTCCTGGAGTTAACTTTGATCTAACAGTATACCAAGGTCAGGGAAAAGATAGCCAGTTTGACTCAGTTGATAGAGCCTCAGCCTGTGGACCAAAGGGTCCCAGGTTCGATTCCAGTCAAGGGCATGTACCTCGATTGCAGGCTCCTCCCAGCTCGGGTCCTGGTCAGGGCTCATGCAGGAGGCAACCAATTGATGTGTTTCTCTCACATCGATATTGCTGTCTTTCCCTCTCCCACTCTCTCTAAAAATCAATGGAAAAATATCCTCGGAGGAGGATTAAAAAAAAAGAAAACCATCTTTATAAAACAAACACATGACTAAAAAATTTGGCTTATACAGATTATAACAGGAAAAAAGGCAGGAGCTCACATTCTGGAAAAAGGATAGTGAAAATGCCGAAATCTAGCAAAAAGCAATACAATGTATTCATGAGTCAATATTAAGGAATACTACCTTCTCTTGGCTTACTTCCTTTTCCTCTGCTGTTTGGAGGGGAGTAGGAATGTCACATACACATTTATTTTTTCGTCTATTTTTCCGTTTTTGGCGTTTCTTTTCTTGCTTGAGTTCTCTTACTCGTTCCTCCTCTGAAAATTCTTCACAAAGTTGTTCCAATCGGCTAATCCCTTGTACTTTTTCCACGGTCATCTATTACAAAAACAAAAGTTGAAAGTGAATAACTGTGGTCAAAACTTCCTTTATTTTCCATGAACATTCTCATTTGTTAATTTTAAATGATACCACAAACACAGAAACTGATTATTTCATGCTGCAATTCTGTCAGTAATCCCCACAAAGAATTTCAAATATTAATACCTTAAGTGATGAGTCTTAAAATCTACACAGGAAGTGAATATACAACTAATCCCTATGGGAAAGGCAGACTTATACACACCAGCATATTCTAATTTCAGAATTTTTTTTACCTATTTCAGAATTTTAACACAGCAAATTAAGCATTCATTTGGTCACATAATA